GTTTAAGAAGGTCGATTCCTTGGAAACTGTTCAAGGAAGTTATACGAGATAAAGCGTCTGCAACTACATTGTTTGCTCCAGAGACGTGTTGAATATCTGAAGTAAACTGCGAAATGTAGTCCAGTTGTCGAGACTCACGGGGAGAGTACTTGTCAGAAGGAGAGCTTAACGAGAAAGTAAGCGGTTTATGATCCGTAAAAAGAGTGAATTCACGACCTTCGATGTAGTGTTGGAAATGCCGTACAGCACAATACATAGCTAGGAGTTCCCTACCGAATGTGCTGTACCTCGATTCGGTGTCTAGCAACCGTCTAGAGAAAAATGCCAAGGGTTGCCAGGAGTTGTTAACCCATTGTTGTAAGACTCCTCCGATTGCCGAGTCGGATGCGTCTACTGCGATGCTAATGGGTGCTCGGGTGTCCTGATGTGCGAGCATTGTTGCTTTAGCAATCAGTTCCTTAACTGTGGAGAATGCTTTTCGTGCGGTGTCGTCCAAATTAATGGATTTCGCATTTCCACGAAGTTGGTCGGTTAGAGGTTTCATGAGTAATGCGCATTTCGGTATGAAACGTCTATAGAAACTTACCAGGCCGTTAAACGTGCGTAATTGCCTGACGGTGGTCGGTTCTGGGTAATCCAGAATGGCCGCCACTTTGGTCCTAAGAGGTCGAATGCCTTGAGCATCGATAGTGTGTCCTAGGAAGTCTAACGAGTCGGTTCCGAATTGGCATTTCTGAACGTTTACAGTTATGCCATGTTTTTGAAGTCGTTCGAAAACAAGATCCAGATGCTTGAGATGTGTTTCTCTGTCCGGACTTGCGATTAGACAGTCGTCAACATACGCGTGTACGAAGTTGAGACCTCGAAAAACGTCGTCTATGAATCTTTGGAATGTTTGAGCAGCATTCCTTAGACCGAAAGGCATTCTCAAAAATTCATAGAGTCCGAAAGGAGTTATGATAGCTGTTTTTGGTATGTCGTCAGTAGCCATAGGGATTTGGTTATACGCTTTAACCAAGTCGATTTTCGAAAAGACAGTTGTACCTTTCAAGGTAGCTGTCAAATCGTGAATGTGAGGCAACGGGTAACGATCGGGAATGGTTTTCGCGTTCAATCGCCGATAGTCACCAGTTGGACGCCAATCGTTGCTGTCCTTTTTAGGGACCATGTGTAACGGAGATGCATATGGGCTACTTGACGGTCGTATGATTCCTAAGTCCATCATGTGATCGAATTCGTTTTTCGCTAACCTTAGTTTTTCAGGAGCTAGTCGGCGTGCTTTAGAAAATACAGGTGGTCCTGTAGTCGTGATGTGATGTGTAACATTGCTGGTTACACACGGTAGTTTCGTTTGAGTTTGTTGTATCTCAGGGTACTTATCGAGTAGTGGTTGATAGAGTGGGTCTATCATATGTTTAACTGTGACTGGGGATACTCTACAACCAGTAAAAGAAGTTACGCAAACGGACAAATTAGTGTTACCGTCTACTAGCCTCCGTTTGCGCGTGTCGATGATCAGATTGTGGTGTTGTAGAAGATCCATACCAATGATTGGCATAGAAACATCTGCAACAACGAAAATCCAGTGGATGGGTTTGCGTAAACCCACGTTAAGGTAAACGTACCTTTTGCCATACGTAGCGATCGGTTTTCCGTTTGCCGCCTGTAAGTTTAGGGTCGATTCGTGTAGTCGGTCGTTAGGAATCGCTGGGAGAACGCTAACTTCTGCACCAGTGTCGACGAGGTAGCGAACTCTCGTTGTCACATCTGTGACGAATAACAGACGGCTTTGTTCGCCGGCTACGGTTGCCGTTAACGCGTGCCGGCTTGGAAGTTTCCCGAATTGCTTTTCGAATCAGTCGGTTTCGTGTTGGGAAAATTGCAGGGTTTCCTGCAATTTCTGGAAAACTTTCCATACTGGTTATGATACCAGCACCAGTCGGGGTTATCTGTCTCTCGTGATCTAGAGACAGATCGCTTACGAGAAATGCTTCTACGTGGTGTGCGCGATCTCTTACGGTCGGTACGAAGACTAAGATAACGCGTGAGTGTGTGACATAAGTCGTTTATATCATTCTGAGTCGTTTGAGGTTTTTCTTTGACTGAAAATACCTCGGTAGTAGATTTCGTAATTTCTAAAATGCGGTCGGCAGATGCAGCTAGCTCGTCTAAGGCGTTGTTCTGGAACGAGACCAGAACTGCTTGCACCTGTTGGGGAAGTTTTGACAAGAAGAGTTGTTTGAATAGGCCTTCGTCGAAAGTTCTTGGGCCTATAACCTCTCTCATCCGTTGCAACATGTCTGTCGCAGAACCGTGTTGCAGGTCGATATTGTTGAAGAGTTGATCTAACCTTTGTCGATCGGTTAGGTCTCCTCGTTTAAGAATCGAGCGTTTTAAGATTTCGTAAGGATCGGAAACATCACTAGTAAACATACTAGGTGTTACGTACCTGTTGAATTCGCGCGGTAGTGCCTTGACTACTGCGAGGAATTGTGCACGTGTGTCGATCACGCCGTGCTCGGAAAAGTCGGCTTCTGCGTAGCAAAACCAGGCTTCGATGTTGTCGGGCCAGAAAGGCATCAGTTGAAACGAAGGCGGGGACAAAGTCTTAAGCTTGAGTACTTTAGGTGTCTGTTCAGTCATGATGAAGTATGAAGTACGATAATGAACAAGGGGAAAATATATATATCCAGGAAAAAACACGAAAAAAAAATCACAATGTTTAAAAAAGTTAAAAAAAAATAAGGCAATGATATATAAAAATCCCAAAAAGGAACAGACTCACAGTTGCAATTAGGTGTACCAGATCACGTCGGTTTCACCAATGATGATGTCACAGGTATTCAGTGTTTGACAACGCTTCTACCAGTAACACCTTCTAATATATTTCGTTCCCGCCCAGAGAAATCAAAAGACAGAGTCGAGGAGATCGGAAGAGTATATTTGGCGATGACCAATATATCGGAATTCTCTGATCTAATCTGGCTAGCGATTGCGGTTGATGTTGAGCACGGCGTTACCACACGTGATCTGGTGCGGATGGCTGACCGAGCGCCTTCAGCTAGGTGAGTCCACTAAAACATATGGTCAGCATCCAATGTCGAAAACTTAGTGCTATTTATTTTGGGGATTTATTTACCGCTACAAGATCAAATCCTCAATTACAACGGCAACAACCCAAGAGCTCACAAAATCAACTGCGTACACACATTGTTCAAGAGGGCGAGGACACACTGCAACACACTGGCAGCACGGAAAAATGAAGAGAAGTACCTGAGGGACATATTTCAAAAGAACGACTACCCAATCAACTTCATCAAAAAGCACCAACGGCACACAGCATCAGAACCCAAATCAAGCACAAAAATCAACAAAAGGATCACCCTACCGTACATACAAGGAATATCAGAAACCACAAGGAGACTGCTGAAAACCTTCGGGATAGGTGTGGCACACAAACCAACAAAATCATTACAATCAATACTATGCAAACCAAAAGATGAAATAACAAAGGAAAACAAATCAAACATCATCTACAAAATAAATTGTACCAACTGCGACAAACACTACATCGGACAAAGCGGACGCCCCCTCCACGTACGCCTACATGAACATCAATTAGCAGTCAAACGCCATGATATCTCTTCACTTATATCAATACACGTGGATAACTACGGACATTCATTCGATTGGGAAAATGTAGAAATCTTAGACAGAGGAAACTCCAAAAACACCAGAGAATTTTTAGAAGCTTGGCTTTCAGGTCAATCAGCAATCAACAAACATATTGAAATCAATCCAATTTATCAACCAATCAGGAAAATCATGCATAAATATAGGAACAAAAATCAAACCAATGGGAGACACAACCAAAACAAAGAAGTAAACAATGATAAATTTAAGGTCAACAAGAACCAATCAACATCGAGGTGCACAGAACAAGCTGTGAAACACATTTGGAGAAATTCGAACACTTCACTTCTATCTGAAGTTTGTGCTGATGATGTCGTTCAGAAGAACGATGAAAGCTCCACGACCAAACCATCCAGCTCAGAGAACAAAACACCACCAAAATCATCCACCTGAGCTGCAAATCTTCTCCACTTAGGAGTCATCTTTAGCCAAGACTTAGAGACTACTGCACACTGAATTTGTATACAGTGTTCGTTCGTCCTAAACTTGAGTACTGCATACAAGCGGCCAGCCCCTGCTTAAAAAAAGACAGTGAGCTTCTGGAACAGGTTCAGAGAACAGCAACTAAGCTGATTCCCGGAATAGCGAAGCTACCGTGTGAAGCTCGACTGGCCAAGCTGAACCTTTTCCCGTTGTCATATCGCAGAACTAGAGGCCACTTGATTACAGTTTTCAAATTACTTAGTGTCAAATTTGCACCTGATATGCCCTCATTTTTCTTGTTTTCCAAAACAGAGAATTTACGAGGACACTCCATAAAAGTTCACAAGCCCAGAACAAATTACTTGTCAGCTGACTACCGACTTTCCCATCGAATCATCAACGAGTGGAACTCAATACCTCAGCACGTGGTTGAGGCTCCATCCGTCGATTATTTCAAAAGAAAGTTGGATCAACTGAGGAACCACCATTGCCAGGACTAACACAGGCCATCGGGCCTCCTGTCCTTCCCAAACTGAAACTGAAACTGAAAACGGAGTCATTATGTACTTTGAATTCACTTATGCTTACGGAGACTTTTCCGGTCATCTTCTTTCAGTCTCTTCTTTCGCGATTGATTTTATTTGCCTCATAATTTTATGAAATGAAATACATTAACATACTTTCATATAATATAGAATTATCTACCACAACGCAGGTTTAAAAAAAGAATAATATAAAGACCATATTAGGTGTTTTTCCGCAGAATCACATCGAACTGGCGCTGAAATATACATATGATATCGGAATTCTATAATAGTAATCAACCGAGAAGTTCATGAATTCTTAAAATGTGTTGATATATTTACCCGTTCCTTGAAAACCTGGCGCAATATTTAAATGGAGCGGATTTCATCCTTTTTTTTACATTTCAAGGTATGTATATCCTTATAATAAAATAAATTTAGATAACCACCATGTTCTAGGTAATAAAAGCAGTGTTTGAAGTCTCCACGTTTTTTAGTTGGCGTTGGTAGTATCGCTGACTTAAGGTCTGCGTTTTCGTAGTTGGAACCAAATAACTTGATGATTTCCACTTGTTTGTATTCTTTATGAATATCTGTTGGTTGTTTGCCACAAGCTTTTTAGTAAGATTGTATGAACTTTCAGGTGTCTTATAAGTAAGTCAGTTGTTCTAACAATCTGTAAATTAATTTACACAAATGTGTCTACAGATTTCGCTCCACATAATCGATATAAGGAGGGGGGAATAGACACTTTTTCCTTGTCCGCGCCGTCACCCTCTTTTTCCATTTGCTTGGGTTGTTTAGTGAGCCTCTTAGTTGTTACTAATAGGTATCGGTTTGCTTTAAATGTAACATTACTCATTTCGGTATATTATCAGCTACTAGTATCTATGTAGGAGTTAATCATCGCTTAGCATATGGTTGACTGGCGACTATGAAACTAAAGCTTAGTTGTATTTTTAGAGTATGGTTTCGGGTTAGGCTTTCTCTTTCACTTCCTAAAAACAAAACCTCACCGAGTGTATATAGGACGTGGTTGGATGTTTGACTGCGTTAGGAAGTACAATAAATACATCGATTATCGGTGGACATGATTTGTCCTATTTCAGGGTTTTATCCCCGTAATTTTTCAAATCGAATTGTTTTCATTGTTCTCGGTTGATATTCGATGATTAATCATAGCCTGATGTTAAAGCTATCAGGGGATGTCTTAAAAATGGTTTCATCCATCCTATCTTCCTTACGCTAAATCTACTGTCATCACATATTTTTCGCCGTAAGTCTCATTTACTGCCCTTTAGTTGCATTTTTGTATTTGAATTCCCATTATAAATGAACCCATTTCCCCTCCCCTTATCATACTGATTTCATGCCTCACTGCTGATTAAATGTAGGGACTTAAATCGGCTCACATATGTCCCAGATTCTACGTTGCATATAGGTGACCAATTTCAAAAAACTTTTTAGAGGAGAAGTTAAATCGTCGGTTGCCTACAGTTGTGTTACTTAATTGTCTTTGATGGATAACCTGTTAAATACATTTATCAAGTAATAAAACTGTTAATTCTACCGAGTATTTTTTTTCTACCATTTTATTTTCAAGGCTACTCACTAGTAAGTGTGCGATCAATCGCAGGCCAATGAATAATTGCATCTCAAGTTTATGTTATTTGTTACATGAAATTTCACTGCATGGTTTTCATAAGTTAATATCCACTGAAGAAGTGGATTTATGATACTTGAAAAGTATGTGATCAATGGAGTGAAAAGAGTTACTGCCATTATGGTAAAAAAGAAATGTGTGTCGTAATCAAAAACCATTATTAGAAATAACCTCTTCAGCGTTAATAATCGTAACAACTGAACCATGCAATAGAACCATTGGAAGAAATGGGTAAACCAAATAAACCATAAAGTTTGGCTATGATAAAAAGCAAAAGACCTACCAAACCGTTTCCGCATGCTAAATCGGGGTTTCATGTTGTGAATAGCTTAAGTTTCTCAGTTTGACGTAGGTTTAGGACATAAACTGGCCTATAAACTTGGAATCGATTAGTCATAACAAATAAATAAACATCTTTAGTAGGTTACGCGAAGATTTGCTGAGTAAATTGTTTTTTGAGTCGATTTCGCCGAACGTTTATCAAGTATGTCATGAGCCGTATTTTTTAAATGCAAGATTTACACACAATTAGAATAAAAGCTCTTAACTCAATAACACACCTACAAAACTTCAAACAGTCATCGTGAATCATGCTTACTGGAAGATCTAATAATGAGACTTGGTTGGTCCATTGAAATGTATACAGTAACATTTGTGTCTTTAACCTGGTGGTCGACGTTCGTGGTACCCCCAGGATATAGTACAAAAATGACTAAACTATCTGGTTGCCCAAACTAGATGATACGATAGTACCTCTTGGTTGGTAAGTTGGAATACTTAGTTATAAAACTGTTGGTTTTATCTAAAGAACTCCATTTTTAAGGTCTTTCTTAAACTTTGAAAGTGTCCTAAAATTGAAAGGTTCATCGACTGAAGTGTTCTTCATAAGCAATCAATGTTGATGGGTGCACTCTTTCTCAGTACTATAAGACATTTGGAAGAGTCATATTCAATGGATGTATTCATATTCTTAGGATAAAAACTCTTTATGAATATATCACTTTTCAGATGCGGTCATATTTCACTATTTCTGAGTGAGCTGCATCCACGAAAATGCTGTTTGAACGTTGTAATTGGAAGTCCAACGAACTTTGCTTAGACATTTTAATGTTTACGATTCAGATCCGTATTTATCTACTTTCAAATAATCACCTGTCTGTTGAGTTATATTTGTTTACGTTTTGTTATCGTAAAGCTTTCCAACCCAGATCAGCAGATATTTTTCGTTTTATATAATTCTGTTCGTTTGAGTTGTTTTTTAATTGGTCTACGTAATAACAAGGTAATATGATTCGTAAGGCACATGCTTTAATGTCGTCCTCAAACTTCGTGGTGAATGATCTTGACACCCCCAAGTGACTATCCTTGTAGGAAAAAAATTGAAAAGCCCCCAAATTGTCTCTTGCAGTTCTCCACTGTTTATGAGGATAGAGGACTAACTTTCCTCACCTCTAACAATTTTTGACCCTTAGTATTTGGACAGTATATAAATTTACTTAACATTGGTCACCAAATGATCTACATGGTGTATATGCAGTTTAGATTGGAAATTTACCTGAATTTATAGCCATGAATTAGTTTAGGGGGCAAAAAACAGGTTTGACACATTTTTCTAGACAACACGCTTATGGAAAGGAGTATTGGGAGAGGTATAAAATTTCATAATGCTGTACGTAATTCTTTCAATATTTATCATAATGAATCAGTAATTCATTAGATATGTTGAATTCTGTGTTGTAGTATCGTGGTAACATGAAGATAATGAATTGCTTATATTATCAGTGGAAGTATTTATCACCAAAACATACGAAAATGTCTTGGTCAAGTTATTTTCCTGTTAGTTTCATGAACTAAATGAAATGGATGTCTTTGTATACCAAGTTGAACATGGTGGTGAATAGATATCTCGTTAATATTATTAGCTGCTTATTATTAGTGTATAGCGTTGGAATTATTTGATATTCTTGCAATGACAGTGTCTTAATTTCTTCGAGAGTTGAAGTTTCGAGTCGCGTTCTATCTCATTTTCTTCTGGAATGCTGGATATTATTATCAACCTTTAAACAAAAAGTGCGATCTGAATCTCCTGGTATTTGAATCTGTAGTTGGTTGGTTAATCACATTGATAACTAATTTGAGGTGAATTTTGATATACAAGTTATATGAATAAATGTATGCCTCTTAATAGAGATCGCTGAAGTAATGGGATGATTAGTCTTGAACATATCTTCATTTTTTACCATTTCTTTTTGTAAATCTGAACTAGGATTCTTTTGCTTGTGTCATCTATTTGTCCCGTAGTTTCAGTTCTTTGGCTCTAGCTCTCTATTGCACATTGTTATTTTTAGTTATTTTATAATAATTCTGGGAAGTGTAGCAATATGAATTAATGCAATCCACCCATAGACTATGTTATTTCACTTGTTCGGTGTTGATGATTTAACTATCTGTTATTTATATTCTAAGTTTTGTTTCAGTATTGTTCTACTAATATTGGCTTATTATTTCCGTTATTCTAGTGCTTGCTAAATATTTGAAAATCCAGTCACTTGTAGGCTTACATGCCTAACATAATTATCATTTCGTTATGACGTCTACAAGTAGTGATATTGTTCCAGTTGGCACAATAATCAAAGAAAGATGGAGAGTTTACACTAAAATTGGTGGCGGTGGTTTTGGTGAAATCTATGAAGCTGTTGATATGATCAATCAACAAAAAGTTGCTGTGAAAGTTGAATCGGCACAACAACCGAAACAAGTATTAAAAATGGAAGTTGCTGTACTTAAACGATTACAAGGACGTGCGCACACGTGTCGTTTTATCGGTTGTGGTAGAAATGAACAGTTTAATTATATAGTAATGAGTCTTCAAGGTAAAAATCTAGCAGATTTAAGACGATCGACTCGTCGTGGATGTTTTACTATAAGTACAACTGTACGACTAGCTCGTCAAATGCTTGTTGCTATTGAAAATGTCCATAATGTTGGATTTCTTCATAGAGATATAAAACCATCAAATTTTGCATTAGGAACTGGGATCGGACCTGGCGCTGTAAATCCTAGACAAATTGTGCTCCTTGACTTTGGGTTGGCTCGTCAGTATACAACTGCAAACGGAGACATTCGAGCTCCTAGACAGGTAGCTGGTTTTCGGGGTACTGTTAGGTACGCTTCTGTTAATGCTCATTCAAATAAGGAACTTGGACGTCATGATGATCTCTGGTCGTTATATTATATGCTTGGTGAATTCATAGTCGGTGAATTACCTTGGCGGAAAATCAAAGATAAGGAGCAGGTTGGCTTGATGAAACAAACGTTTGATCATAATCAGTTATTAAAGTTTATGCCACGTGAATTTAGACCATTTCTTGAACATATTCAAAATTTGACCTATTTTGATCGTCCAGACTACATATATTTGCATTCTTTGCTTAACGCTTATATGGAACGTCGTAGGATAAATGAATCTGATCCATTTGATTGGGAGATAACAACTGAGCCTACGCCTGTTACTGGTGCTAATGAGACTAATCAGCACCATACAACACAAACACCTATAGCAACTCAACAAGCTGCTCAGGTCACTGTAGCTGGAGCACAGGGAACACTAGATGTCTCCAAGCTCCGAAAGGGTATTCCTTCTGGAGTGGATCAAAATCGGCTAAATGTTGGTGCAGGCTCAAGTGGATATATAAGTGGAACTAGATTGGCCGGAAGTAGTTCAAACTTAGCTCTTGTAAGTCCAGTTGTAACCACTTCAGTGGCTAATGTAGGGAAATCTTTTGATGCTATCCCATGTCATGGTGGACCAAATGGTAGTGCCTTAAATTCAAGATCAGTTGTAGTTTCACATCATCGTAATAATGTCGACGAAATTTTGAGCAATCACAATTCTCAGCAGCAACAAGGTAACAATACGCCGCGTAAATCATTTTCAAATGCATGTGCACGGTCGCATCGACCTGCCACTACTCCACGTCTTGTTAAAGAAGCTGGAGCGGCGAGAGCTCGTGAAGCTGCCTCTAAAGATGTTACCAAAGTAGATCATTTTTACTCTCCACATTCTCAAGCTAATCGTGTTTCTCCTTCAGCTAAAGTTGGTAATACCGACTCAGTTTGTCAACCAACGGATAGTTCTATACCGATTAGTTGTGGACATCGTAATAATGATCCAAACAGACTTCAACCTGGTATAGGAACAACGAACAGCAATTCATCAAATCGTCGACCTATAAGTGCAGGTGCAGCTCATCTTAGAAGTAGTGGAGGCACTATAGGAAGTACAGCAAGTGTTGTTGGGGCTGGTTCAGGGACGCGATGCGACACAAGTTGCACACATGCTGTCATTGTAATGGTCGATCAAGGAGAAAATAGTAATTATCATGATATGACAAAAGCTGTTCCCCTTACACTCGCTAGTCATTGGATTGCTGGTGGAGAAGATGAAGAAGGTTCGGGCCTCTCTGAAAATGAAGATGCTGTCGTAAAAGTTAGAGGTCCAGCTTCTTCTGTTGCTAGTGCTTCTGGTGGGGTTGGAGACGAATACGATGCATCGAATCATTTGAACAAATTTAATGGAACAAATAATCAATTACCTGAATGTAGGAGCGGAGAAGACAATGAAGTATTTCCCAGAATGCAGTCAGAAAATGGCAATAATGATAATAATTACTTTTGTAATTGTGACCCTAGTATGTTAAATTCTCAGCGAGTTTTTCAACCTTCTGGAGATGTTAACAAGGATGTTGGATCTGGTTCTTATCAAGAGCCAGGATCAGATGAAAATAGTGGAGAGAGATCTTCAGTGAATGTACCTTATATTACACCTGGCAGACAAGTATCTATTTCTTCTCAACACACATATGGAGAGGTTGAAAGTGGTTCCTACCGACATAATATCAATTCTTTTGGAAATCGAGGTGTTGCACGTAAGCTATCCCAAGGATTTCGTCGACAAAGAGCACTGCCTCAATATCTTACTTCAGAATCAAAATTACTTCCAAGTTATGGTATGCCTACAGCCAAAGAAAGTTGTTTAGTCAATTCACCAACTCGTTTGAAATCTTTTAAAAGTGATAATGATAATAATTGGATCACTCGAAGTGGTGGTGATTTAACGCCTCAGTTTCCAATTCCATTCTCACGTTCCACAAGCCCATACCATCCTCATGGCTTAGAAATTGTTGATGAAAATGCTAGTATACCAGTTTCTAAGCATTCACCATATATTACACAAGAAATGGTTGATCGCAGAGGTCGAATCCAGTATAAAGATTTACATGATCATGATTATCGTGAATCAGGAAATCTAATTAATGAGTTTCATTTTGATCCAATTGTTAATTTAAATAATAATCATAATGATAATAACAATGCTAACGCTAATAATAATCACAATTATTCAAATACATGGAAGTTTAATCAAAACAGTAATTGTTTTCCTAATCCACCACATTTAAATTCTTCTAATTCCATGTATCATCATTTACAACCTGTCGAGAATCAATCAAATCATATGAGTCGTTCAATGATATTATCACAAACAAGCAGCGCTGAGCCATCATCCACATATAATCTCCTCATGCATCCATTACGAATAAATAATGAAAATAATGAGATTAATTTGAAACCACCAAATTCATCATATTTAACTGATGGTCCTATCTTTTATAAATCACCATTTCAATATTCTTCAGCATCGCCATCTGTCACAAAACCATTAACTACTACTATAATATCACGTGATTATTTTCGCTCTCGTCCTGATATCTCTTCAGCATCACGTCAATATTATGTTTCACAACCAAATAATCATTTCAATACAACTACACGACGTCCGACATTATCGGTCGCACAAAATAATTCATACTTAAAAGCACCATTTTCTAAATCTGAACATAATCTTTTACATGCCGTGGATAGCTTACCGGAATTGGAAAATAGACGATTTCAGCCTACAGTTGAAGATGATAGTTACTTGGTAAGTGAAATATATATATTCCGTCGTGAGAGAGTTTAGGTAATGGAGAGAACACTTGTTATAAGACTTAAGTAGTGCTGTAAGAGCGTGACCGACTGACAATTCCAAGCTTTTCACACCATACCAAAGTAAAAAGTGGACAGGGTTAGAACTAATGGTTCAGTTAGCTGTAGAGCTTAAAGGGAAACTGGTTGAGGCTCATGACCCTATTGATGAATAGATAGTTGTATTATCTATCAGCTACATTTTGTTGAGTTGTAATAATTGATTTGTACTAGTTTCTCAAATTGTTAATAATAACTTATCAGTAAATAAGGATATTAAATATGTATAGCTTAATACTCATATGGGGTGGTTAACTAACATTGTATCAAATTGGAGTCGAAACAATTGATGTTCCTGTATTTATCAGTTAGAATAGACTAAAGTTATTTTAGGAGTCCTTTCAGAGTTGATTACTGAATAGAACTGGCACTGTTTAATGGCTATTTCGTACCCCAGTGGAGATTTTATTTTATTTCGACACATAAATATTGGTATAAGAGGGCACCAAATATATATGCGCCACACCATATTTGTGTATGTGCGGGCTGTGATACTGCCCGGGTGCCCAGACCGAAACAGGTAGTGGAAATATTGAAATATATCAGTTATTCATAACAAATGTAAGGTACAGCACGGATTTGTGTTGGTCCAAGTTGCCACATTGAATGGCAAAGTAACAAACGAAATTAAAAGAGGAGTAGAATCAATTTCGGCTACCGTGCAAATATGGAAGTACACGAGAAATACAGATCAAAGAATAAGTAAGATCTCAGGATAGAAAGTTAGGAGTTACGTAACTCGACGTCTAGAGGGGGTTAAGCAATTATACAACCGCTCCACTAGCATTGATTTTATGCAATATCATTGAACGTCTCTAACAGTTGATTATGAATAGTAGTTAGTTTAGGGACAGAGTATTAAAAAGGGAAATTAGTCAATGGAGCTATAAGTTTGTCAACTGAGCTGCTCTAAAGACATTTTACGCATATATATCCGCCATATATCTTAGAGACTGGCTAGGGTAGGAGTTGGTTGGAAAATAGCTAGAGCCAAGTAGGTCAAGCAAAACTACATTACTCTTTCAAGTCACTGATCTCTGAGGTTTCATCGTCCTCATAGATGCAGATTCCCTGGTTAGAAACCTTATAATAACTAATCCGTGGTTGTAGACTTCAAATGACATGGGCAACTAACAGAGTGGGGTTCCACTTGAAGTCTAAGGAATATAACTACAGTTAAGTGTTAGTAGTATACCTATATTCTCAAACCTGACGAAGGTTGAACATTTAATTTGTACATTCACGCTGAGGCATGAAATCAGTCTTGTTTTCCCAGGTTTGCTATTCACACTCTTCAGTTAAGCGTTGGATAGTTATGGATCCCAATGTTTTAGATGAAATATTGGTCAAAGTGATTCCTTTGTGGTTGTCACAAGTGAACTGTTATCTTGTTCTATAAGCTGAGACAGTCACTCTGATTTCTAGCTTCCTTACGGAGGCTAATATCTCAGTTCATCTAATTTATAAAACTGAACTACGATCTTTTAAAACAACTGGGAACAATCTATAAGGACCAGCTACTCTCCCTAGCTTCAAAAAACAGTTGTTTAATTCACATGAAATCTGGTGCGATTAACTGGGCACTGAAAATAAAAAGCATAACACTAAAAAATATCTGTATTTGCCGGGATAATGTCCTGTCATCCGAACCGAAACAGGTAGTTTCTTTTGACTTAAAGCTCTAATCCACAATTGAGGGAAGCCATGTCAAGCGCTGCATTCTCAGAGTAGCTAACAATAGAAAATACTTCCACACCATTCGTTTCCTATAAATCTTGGAGCCTGTATACACCATTGATTTGGAATCAGGGTTGTCCAACTTTGAGAGTTTGCTTTTCATTTATTTTTTCTAAAAAATCACATGCCGCCTGAGGGGATCGAGTAGGACTCTCTTGGCGTAAAGTGTAAACACTTAGCTGTGAGAGCACTTTGAAAGGGGGAGCAAACCGTCTGTACACTTGACCGTACTAGTTCATGCACGGCTTAACAAGTGAGACATTTTTTGAGAAATCCAAAATAATAAGACTTAGATTGATTTTAATTAATGTATGATAAACGTTATCGGCTTATTGTACTCACTTTACAAAAAATAAGTATATGGAATTTGCTTGCTAGATGTATAATTATTTCTTGGTACATCTCAGTTCTCCATTAAAACTTTTCTCATCCATTATTTTAAACCTTTAACTATTTAATGACTTGAAATTCATGACAATAGTACTCATATATTTCAACATTTGTTTGAACTTGATGAGTCTTGTACATGAACGCTAGAATGTTAAGTTCCTAGTCTCACTTACTCATGAATCCGTGAAAAGAAAACAGGTGGAAAGTATAAGGGTTTTGTTTCTATGGTTCTTTTTGCAAAAAAGACGAGAGTATTTATATAATTATATGACCTTGTAGTTTTAGAACCTTTTGCGGACATGCTAAAACTAGTAACAATTTCAGTATTTGTCCAGTCAAAATAAGGAAGACGATCGTTTACTAGATTTTTCTTGGAAACTTCTAAAATATGCTGATAGGTCGAAGTGTTTTCAGCATTTTTATGGTCCTCTGAAACTGGCGAGAAATCACTGAAAATTTTCAAATGAGTTTAATCTGTCTACACATTGAACTTCCAGTCCATTAGTGCATCAGGTGTCTGAATATATCTTCATGTACACACTTAGTGTCGATGGCATTGAGATGCGTAAGCAGATTAGTTGGGAATATTTTACTTAAAATGAAGCAGTTTTCAGTATGAGTTTGAACACTGATGATATTTGTCACAAACATTATTCAATCAATTCACTAAGTCTATTATGTTCCTTTGGCTAAAGAAGCTGTTCAATTACATACCTGTATTATCATTTTGAGCAAAATGTTTCGTATGAGTTTTACGTCCTATTGATGGTAGATAATATTTCGCATATATTCCTAATTAGATTTCAGTGAATGGTGTTTGCCAGGTCACTTGTCTATGTAGAGTTCAACTGCTTTTCATCCATTGACCAACTAGACAATCACAGCTGGCGCGATATTCAGCCATAATCGATATAGAGCCTGAAATACGTATACATTGGCCTACGTTACCGTATCATACCACATGTATTGAGTAATTTGGTGTGGTTGCAATTATTTTCTATCTTAATCAGGATATTGAGTTTCAGCATTCGTACATCTTCCTTCAATTGTCCATTACATACTGTATGATTTCCTGAATTCTGTCTTTATCCCAATTGTTCCCTGTTTCGCTTCCTCTTCTCTTTGTTTCATTGTTCTGCTGGCAAGCATTCCACTCCCAATTGCTGTTACATACTACTTGAGTCTGTCAACACAAGTAGCATTCACCGCATTATAGGTCGAGATATTTTTTGATTTATTCAAGACACGACTAGTCAGTAAAAAAAGTATAAATCACACAAATAAGAAGATGAAATCATGAAGAGGTATATGATGGAATGAGGTACATCGTCAAAAATAATTAAATTAGTAAAAATGAGCGGAAGAGAAAAGTTTATAATGAGAGAAACAGTTCATTTTAAAAGATATATAACCAGGAAGAATCATTTCAGTTAAATGAGTTCCTTTTTGTGATCTAATCTTAGCGCCTAAAAATAGTGCTCATTGTCAAAGATGCCGGGTTGACATTCCTAACACATGTGCAAACCACCAAAGCCTGTGTTTCAACATGGTGATATCAAATAATTAAAATCTAGAAGTATTCAAGTTAAAAATAGCCAATCATGACAGTTTGTAAATGTAATAAATAACTCAATGTAATCCTTCCAACAATTTCTGTGATCATGAAACAATGATATCGATTTACTATTCGTGTTTGTAAATAGAATGGGAACCTGGAATTATGCTTTTAGGACATTTATGTGTGTGTCAAGTCTTTCTTAGTGCAGATCGAATGCTATCGACCTGGGTTCAGGGTTTCCTGTTGACTACCTCCAACCGCCATCTTAACACTACAGTTATTCTAGACCACGTGTATAATAAAAAAATAATGACATATTAAATAAGTATTTTTACTTAATATACCACATGAAAAAGTTATGTTTGATTGTTTCATATACCGATTCATTCATATCTATCCATTTGTATATTATTTATATTCTTATCAATTATTGTATAGTTGGTATAACAAAATGTTGGTTCTAAAAATGAAGGTCATTCCATCTTTTACAATACAAAGGTAGCTATATATTATTGTTGTTGTCATGTGGTGGTTTTTTTTTAATTAAAAAGTTTCATGATGAATTAAACTATGCACTCACTGATATATATATATGTATGCACATACAACTTAACTCTCTCTCTATATATGTATATATTGTCACTTTATTTCTGTAATAAACTTTACATAATTTCAATCACTTGGCCATACTTTAGTTTTGTTGCACGAAATACTATTAGTTTGCTCATCGTGGATATTTTTGTTTAATAAGTAGTATATAAACAATTTCCTGTATTATATATATATGATGTTTAATATTGTTTCTTTTTCGTCGTTGTACATTGAATCTACGTTGTAATAATTCAATGGGAAAAATAGTAACAAAACAGAATACAACTTTATTCCATTTCTTTATTGTATAACCAATATATCAATGTCAGCAGAGATAAATGGTGGTTAGCAGTCAAGTCCAGGACGCGCTTCTCGTCCTATTTGGGACTCTTTAGTTAGATGTATCTGCATCGCAGAGTTAATGTCCTCTCTTGGACTCGAACCCAGTACCGTTCACCTCAAGTGTTATCGCGTTATCCACCTAACTATTGAAATCATTTATTATACATAAAAATTGAATTGTGTACACGATATTTTTCTCAAATACTCAATGATTATAAAGTTTGGATAGTGGACTATGAATGATTAACAAAAATGTTGAACTATTTACTAGCGATCAG